TCAATGAATATTTCACCCTACACAGGTGTTGTGTCAATGAATATTTCACCCTACACAGGTGTTGTGTCAATGAATATTTCACCCTACACAGGTGTTGTGTCAATGAATATTTCACCCTACACAGGTGTTGTGTCAATGAATATTTCACCCCTACACAGTTGTTATGTCAATGAATATTTCACCCCTACACACTTGTTATGCCAATGAATATTTCACCCTACACACTTGTTATGTCAATGAATATTTCACCCCTACACACTTGTTATGCCAATGAATATTTCACCCTACACACTTGTTATGCCAATGAATATTTCACCCTACACAGTTGTTATGTCAATGAATATTTCACCCCTACACACTTGTTATGTCAATGAATATTTCACCCCTACACACTTGTTATGTCAATGAATATTTCACCCTACACACTTGTTATGTCAATGAATATTTCACCCCTACACACTTGTTATGTCAATGAATATTTCACCCCTACACACTTGTTATGTCAATGAATATTTCACCCCTACACACTTGTTATGTCAATGAATATTTCACCCCTACACACTTGTTATGTCAATGAATATTTCACCCCTACACAGTTGTTATGCCAATCAATATTTCACCCTACACAGGTGTTGTGTCAATGAATATCCCACCCTACACAGTTGTAACGCCAATGAATATCCCGCCTTACAGTGTTGTTATGGCAATGAATATTCCACCCTACAATTGTTGAGTTGAAGGATATTCCAACCTACACAGTTGTTGAGGTGAGGGATATTCCACCCTAGACAGTTGTTGAGGTGAGGGATATTCCACCCCAGACAGTTGTTGAGGTGAGGGATATTCCACCCTAGACAGTTGTTGAGGTGAGGGATATTCCACCCTAGACAGTTGTTGAGGTGAGGGATATTCCACCCTAGACAGTTGTTGAGGTGAGGGATATTCCACCCTAGACAGTTGTTGAGGTGAGGGATATTCCACCCTAGACAGTTGTTGAGGTGAGGGATATTCCACCCTAGACAGTTGTTGAGGTGAGGGATATTCCACCCTAGACAGTTGTTGAGGTGAGGGATATTCCACCCTAGACAGTTGTTGAGGTGAGGGATATTCCACCCTAGACAGTTGTTGAGGTGAGGGATATTCCACCCTAGACAGTTGTTGAGGTGAGGGATATTCCACCCTAGACAGTTGTTGAGGTGAGGGATATTCCACCCTACACAGTTGTTGAGGTGAGGGATATTCCACCCTAGACAGTTGTTGAGGTGAGGGATATTCCACCCTAGACAGTTGTTGAGGTGAGGGATATTCCACCCTACACAGTTGTTGAGGTGAGGGATATTCCACCCTACAGTTGTTGAGGTGAGGGATATTCCACCCTACAGTTGTTGAGGTGAGGGATATTCCACCCTAGACAGTTGTTGGGGTGAGGGATATTCCACCCTACAGTTGTTGAGGTGAGGGATATTCCACCCTAGACAGTTGTTGAGGTGAGGGATATTCCACCCTAGACAGTTGTTGAGGTGAGGGATATTCCACCCTAGACAGTTGTTGAGGTGAGGGATATTCCACCCTAGACAGTTGTTGAGGTGAGGGATATTCCACCCTAGACAGTTGTTGAGGTGAGGGATATTCCACCCTAGACAGTTGTTGAGGTGAGGGATATTCCACCCTAGACAGTTGTTGAGGTGAGGGATATTCCACCCTAGACAGTTGTTGAGGTGAGGGATATTCCACCCTAGACAGTTGTTGAGGTGAGGGATATTCCACCCTAGACAGTTGTTGAGGTGAGGGATATTCCACCTTAGACAGTTGTTGAGGTGAGGGATATTCCACCCTAGACAGTTGTTGAGGTGAGGGATATTCCACCCTAGACAGTTGTTGAGGTGAGGGATATTCCACCCTAGACAGTTGTTGAGGTGAGGGATATTCCATCCTAGACAGTTGTTGAGGTGAGGGATATTCCACCCTAGACAGTTGTTGAGGTGAGGGATATTCCACCCTAGACAGTTGTTGAGGTGAGGGATATTCCACCCTAGACAGTTGTTGAGGTGAGGGATATTCCACCCTAGACAGGTATTGAGGTGAGGGATATTCCACCCTAGACAGTTGTTGAGAGGGATATTCCACCCTAGACAGTTGTTGAGGTGAGGGATATTCCACCCTACACAGTTGTTGAGGTGAGGGATATTCCACCCTAGACAGTTGTTGAGGTGAGGGATATTCCACCCTAGACAGTTGTTGAGGTGAGGGATATTCCACCCTAGACAGTTGTTGAGGTGAGGGATATTCCACCCTAGACAGTTGTTGAGGTGAGGGATATTCCACCCTACACAGTTGTTGAGGTGAGGGATATTCCACCTTAGACAGTTGTTGAGGTGAGGGATATTCCACCCTAGACAGTTGTTGAGGTGAGGGATATTCCACCCTAGACAGTTGTTGAGGTGAGGGATATTCCACCCTAGACAGTTGTTGAGGTGAGGGATATTCCACCCTAGACAGTTGTTGAGGTGAGGGATATTCCACCCTAGACAGTTGTTGAGGTGAGGGATATTCCACCCTAGATAGTTGTTGAGGTGAGGGATATTCCACCCTACACAGTTGTTGAGGTGAGGGATATTCCACCCTAGACAGTTGTTGAGGTGAAGGATATTCCACCCTAGACAGTTGTTGAGGTGAGGGATATTCCACCCTAGACAGTTGTTGAGGTGAGGGATATTCCACCCTAGACAGTTGTTGAGGTGAGGGATATTCCACCCTACAGTTGTTGAGGTGAGGGATATTCCACCCTACAGTTGTTGAGTTGAGGGATATTCCACCCTACACAGTTGTTGAGGTGAGGGATATTCCACCCTACACAGTTGTTGAGGTGAGGGATATTCCACCCTAGACAGTTGTTGAGGTGAGGGATATTCCACCCTACAGTTGTTGAGGTGAGGGATATTCCACCCTAGACAGTTGTTGAGGTGAGGGATATTCCACCCTACAGTTGTTGAGGTGAGGGATATTCCACCCTACAGTTGTTGAGTTGAGGGATATTCCACCCTACACAGTTGTTGAGGTGAGGGATATTCCACCCTACAGTTGTTGAGGTGAGGGATATTCCACCCTAGACAGTTGTTGAGGTGAGGGATATTCCACCCTACAGTTGTTGAGGTGAGGGATATTCCACCCTAGACAGTTGTTGAGGTGAGGGATATTCCACCTGTTGGCTATGAGTGAGTGAGTGAGTGAGTGAGTGAAGAACAGGAGTTAACAGAACAGTTTCCCAGGAATGTAGAACAGTTTGAACATGTAGCAGTTTTAACTATTTTATTTGGTAATTTGATTTGAAATATAAATGTTTGTTTTGTAATAAACTTTATTTTGAGGATACAAAATATTTTTATCAGTTATCTCCTGTCTTGTGGAATGGTACCAACATATAACCGATATGTATGATAAAAATATAGAATATTAAGGTGGTGTGGAATCGGGTTCTAACATCCTGTTCAGGATTATTCACTTATATAGTGCAAGAACGTGTGTGTGTGGCTGTTTGCACTAGACTAGACTTATAATGGTTTTCCCACTGAGACCATGCCCCAGATTAACTTCAATAACCCACTCGGGCACAGTATACTGGATCCGAGTAGACACGTTTCTGTTTTAGCCCCTTACTGCCAAGCGCCAGGCAGGGTAACAACAAGTACCAGCGTTTAATGTCTTTCGGTATGACACGGCCAAGGGAGAGAAATAGTAAAACACATAAGAGAGACTTTAATGTTTTGTGATTATTTAATTAAAGTGGGTACAAAACCAGTCATAAATGATAGATTGGGCGAAGATAGATAATCATAACGACCTTGGGTGATTTACCACAAGGTTAGTGCATTTTGACATCATAGTGAATTAGACAGAACCTTTAAACGATTTCGACATTCACAATTATTTGAGATACAACAAATCTCAAACAACCGGATCATGGCGCTACGATTGTGGTAAGTCTATGTTTAAGTGCGGGAGTCTTTGCGCACGATTGTGGTAAGTCAATGTTTAAGTGTGGGAGCCATAGCGCACGATTGTCGCAAGTCTATATTTAAGTGTTGAAGTATAAACGATATGATAAACGCTAACGCTACGTCTTAACGCTACGATTGTTGCAAGTTCCCATGTTAAAGTGTGAGAGTCTTTAACGCTAATATTGCTTTGTTGTATAATCACTTCCAGTCGATATTTTCAAGGACTGTTTGGCCATTATATCTAACAACGTCAATACTAACAATATTTGATTTAAGTTGGAAGACTATTTTCCAAATGCCAGTCCATCGATTAAGGTCTTGGGGCGATCACGGCGATGACGTCATAAACATTGTACCCGGGTGTGTATGTAGCTACGCAAAGGTTCTTTATATATCTAATTAGCATACACATATTAATACATAGTTTATAGGTCACATCCATAAACGCTTAAAGGTCAGTTTCTTTCATTCTTTTTCACTCTCGTCAAGCCCGGGCTCAATTCCTAGCATTGGTACGACATATGAATCCCATTTCTGGTGTCCCAAACCTAAATATTGCAGGAATATGGCTAAAAGTTGGGTAACATTATACCCACGTACTCATTCACTCATTCCTTTCCAAACTATCAATGTCTATGTGATATTAATGTTGGCTAGTTAAATTACATTTTAATCATTCTTAATGACACATGGAAAACGCCTTGCAATGCATTGGATGTTTGGCAAGTGTCATCTCTTTTGATGTTCATAATTAAATACCCCCGCTCAGAACATCATGTAAGGGAGAGAGATTTCAAAACAATCAGAAATCCTCCTTTAGAATATATTTGGTTCAGAAAAGTGTCATGATAAAATTTCATTATTTCAAAGTACGTGACAGTCGTCATGTAGAGCTACTACCATAGAGCTCCATCACGTACGGGAGGACGAGACTTGGCTGGGCGCCATTACGGGTATACACAAAACATGGCGGCTCTGACTTTCCCGCAGCGGGAATCTCACCTTCTAACATTCTCCGCCCTCTGCCTAATCTTCCTCAAGTGTTGTGCGTTCATTAAAATCGACATGTTGACGTTTTCGGGCAAACAGGTTCCTAGATGTCTTCTGTATCTCCCGACTACTATCGCTCTCCTCACAGCAGACGACACAACTTGTCGCAAAGCAGACGACAAAGTGAATGCGCGGGATGGTGCTCTCTGACCGTCCCGTGCCGTGTTGCTAGGCGATACTTCCTCGTGCTAAACCAATCAATACCTATCTGGGATACCAGGGTAGAGTCTGCCTTCCTGCGCCCCACCAGCAACAGCCAGTCCATCAAATATTAACCATAGCGGAGGATCGAGGCTTTCAACTTTCTGTAGTGGCATATGAGTTTCCGTCCCCGTTACAATACATGAAAGATGTTGGACTTGAATGATAAGTATCTCAGATGACATTCGGAGAACTTGTATTATTGTGGTTTGTAACAACCTTCGTTAAAAGTGAATCCGTTTAACATGCAACGGGAATATGTACTAGCAACGGCATATCCAGGGTCGGTTATTGATGATTGAAAATTATACAGGTGAATGTAGGACTTGATTTGAGCTCAACGTTCTTCAGGCTAAATCAATATACAGTAAAGTACGGTTATAACGAACTCAAAGGGACTACTAATTTTAGTTCGTTATAACCGTAGTTCGTTATAAGCATATATACAGCATAACTACAGCAAATAGGCGGGACCAAAAAGTAAGTTCGTTATTTCCGTCAGTTCGTTATAAGCGTGTTCGTTATAACCGTAGTTGACTGTACTCTCCTATCCACCCTGTCGTGTCAGGAATATATTGACATCGGTGCATAAGATGCAGTGACAATGCAGCAATGAAAAACCATGAAGAACACATACAGGAATAAATTTTTATTTCTGTATTTGTTACATTTTGCCACATTAGGCTACAAGAAAAATAAATTAACAAAGGGTTGTTTTTACCTTTAGAGTAAGTGTGCGAGCGCGCGAGTAGGTTTTACGCTGATTTTTGTCATGACACTGCCGGAACTTTGAACCCGTCCGGTCTTAGGCGCAACGAGAGAACACCTTAAACAGTCGAAGATTTCACCACCCCACCAAGGCTAAGATACAGTTTCAAATGGAACCCCTAATGCCCGGTACCCTTCGTGGCTAGGAGCTGATTAGACGACCATGCTGGGAGACCCATCAATCGGCCCACCTCGCCCCTTTCCGTAACCGCAAAGAACATTGTGAATGTTGGAAATGGGGCAACTTTACACTGACATATAGTCTATTAATTTTTTTAATACACAACATACACAGCAAATCACTTGAGCACTTTGATTAAAAACATGAGAACATTTGGAAATGTCGACGCCCAGTTGATAGAACACATGCTCTGCAATTCCTGCAATGGACCGAAATCTGCACGGCAGCCGCCATGTTGTTTATGAACCCAATGTTGATAAGGTACCGTGATTTTAATTGGACTATGCATAGACTCCTTAGTCCAGCCACACTATAACTCCATAATTCCTGCCTTGTTCGGCAAGGGTAGAAACATGTCTTTCAAAGTCAGTTAACTCCCTTGCCTCGGGAAGATGCTGTGCAAGTGTCAACAGTGTTCTGTCTAACATGTAATGCGTTCCATCCAGGACAAATACTGTCAGTGTTTGTTTGCTATCGTGGGAAATATTTCCAGGTAAAAACTATTCCATGAGAATAATTCCCAAGAGAGAAGAAATACAAAGGAATGGTATCAGTACAGGAACAGATACTCTTTGACACTGGCAGGAATTGTACAACGTATAAATTATTGTCTGCACATTCAACATGGTTTTGGTTGTTGTTTAACGCCGCACTCAGCAATATTCCAGCTATATGACGGCGGTCTGTAAATAATCGAGTCTGGACCAGACAATCCAGTGATTAATATCATGAGCATCGATCCACGCCAATGGGATCGATGACATGCTTCTTACGACAAGCATAATCGCCTTTTACTGCAAGCATGGGTTGCTGAAGACCTATTCTTCCCCGGATACCAATACATCTCTCGCACGAAATATGGTCCACACCAACAAATGCTGGTGAGAGGCGACTAAATGGATCGGGTGGTCAGGCTCGGGCAGTCGTTGGTAGCAAGGATTTGTATCATAATGGCGTGGATCGATTCTCAGGGTGCCGGAAGCTTTCATACATCCTTGTTCAACAAAAGCTCCAATAATCGTGAAACATGTTGACAAAGACTAGTCGCACTATAGAGTAACAGTAACAACGGCATACTCACCGTGACATGATATGGTATAAGGTTCAATGGAAACAATCAGCTTACAACAAAAATCTACACATAATTATGTGCTTGCAACATAACAATACAAATAATGTATGTATACACAAGGTGCATGCTCGAAGGGCTAACATTATTACCCCGGTCAGTGGATCAGTGTGCACTCGATTATCATTCTCAGCTCCTTGGGGAGTATACAAGCCAATAATATAGTGTTGGTTTATAATGCGCCAATCCACATACGAAAATATTCTCGGCTCCCTGGGGAGTATACAACCAAAGCTGCCTATGCTGCGCTTGAAGGTTAACTGCCACATTACCATATCATCCTACCGGGTACCCATTCACTGCTGGGTGAACAGTGACACATTTCGAACAAAAGTCATTTGAAAAAGAAGGGATGTCCTACATCAGCTTCAGTGTGGATCAGGAACGAAGCCCTTGAATTCCTAAGGCGTCAAGCAGCCGTACGCGGTCACCAATCCAACTATTCTCCGAGACCGCTGCTTTTCACCTGATTTGCATCTTCCCGAGGCAAGGGTGTTAACTGACCATGACTTTTATAGTCATTTTACGCCCTTGCCTCGGGCAGATTCCTGATTTGTGAGCTGTCGACAAATTTCTGTTGCATGAAATACAATTTTACAACAACAACAAAAAATCACCACACAATATGCATTGCATAATCACCATCTGATAAAAATATGGGCGCGAGTGAGTGGATTGGTCTTAACGCCGCTTTAAACAGCATTCCAGTTTTGCCGTAAAAGGCGACTATGCTTGTCGTAAGAAGCGACTAACGGGATCGGGTGGTCAGGCTCGCTGACTTGTTGATGCATGTGATCGTATCCCAATTGCGTGGATCGATGATCATGATGTCAATCACTGGATTGTCTGGTCCAGACTCGATAATTTACAGACCGCCGTCATATAGCTGAAATATTGCTGAGTGCGGCGTTAAATATCCGTCCTCGCGTCCTCCCTTTCTTTCAGACCCCTGAACGTCACATCACATCACTTCACAGCAGGACAATGCACGCCCTGATTTTGCACGTGTGGTCACACACTTTATTTCACAACATAATATCCTCACAATCCCTCTGGCCTACTGTTTCGACAGATATGTCGCCCATCGAACATGTGTTGGTTGAACAGAAACGTTGTTTACGTCGACATCCAAACCAGCCGGTGACGTCGATCCAGCTGCGACAGGTCTTGGTCCAGATTTGGATGACATCGCACCAACCTTCCGCAACCGCTTTGGACCCGTTAAGATTCCGGGGTAGAGTAGGTCTTCAGCAACCCATGCTTGCCGTAAAAGGTGACTATGCTTGTCGTAAAAGGCGACTAAGGGGATCGGGTGGTCAGGCTCGCTGACTTGGTTGATGCATGTCATCGATCCCAATTGCGTGGATCGATGCTCATGACATTAATCACTGGATTGTCTGGTCCAGACTCGATTATTTACAGACCGGCTTCATATAGCTGGTATATTGCTGAGTGCAGCGTTAAACAACAAACCAACCAACCGCAACCGCCTTGTGTCGTCAACGAGGCGCCGTTGTCAAGCTGATGTCACCGATGATGTCATCCCCGACACTGACTTGTGACCTGACAAGAGACCCCACGCCACTTCCAGCCTGAGATGACGTTCACAGAAGACATGTTTAGTTTAAACATATTTTTATTTCAATTAAAAATTGGAATCGGTAAACAAGACAGCGCTTATTTTAATACCTCTCCCTATACAGAAATCAAGTAACAGAAGAAATCAAGGTGTTTACATATATGTACATAAAAAACACCTCAGTGGTCAGTTATCAAGCATGATCAGCAGTGTCCGGTTTTCATAATAATTATATTAAGTACTCAAGAAAGAGTGAGTGAGTTGGGTTTAACGCCGCTTTTAACAGTATTACAGTAATATCGCGGCGTGTCAGCTTAATGTGGGAGGAAAGCCCGAAGTGATGCAGGTCTCAGACGTTTACCACTTCGGTGAAACCGACGAGCACGGGTATGGTGCTGACAAACCTAGAAACATAATCGGGGCGAACCGGAATTCGAACCCACAATCATAGGTTTCTGGCGTGACCAAGGGAAGCAACTCAGCCCAGCGAATCGCGGCGCCTTAGACGACTGGGCCACCTGTGCCCCTAATCCATAATGAACACAAGACACATGTATATTATATGTGAGGGTTTGGTGTATTATTTAAGTTTAAATCTATAATTTATGATGAAAGTATGGACAGATAGAAGAATTTCATGAATCAGATGTGTTGACACTATCATGATAAAAATCATATTTTTTAAACATTAATATATTGTTCTGTTACAAAATCGTTACTTGTCTGGTGTATTTATTATTTCCTATGACAGTCAGTGATACACAAGAGCTTCTTTCCTCTAGTATATAAAATAAAGTTTTGCATGAGACTTGCACGTTTCCCTTCATCGAAGTACAGTGATAGAATATCCAGTTGGTTCTGTCATCCTGATATGGTGCTTGACATAATTAATCATCATCCGCAACAGCAACATCAAAAGTTCTATTATGTCACTAAATAGTTGGACTCCATGTTTTCCAGGAAGGGAAATTTCATTGAAGAGATCATTGATGAAGTAAAAACAAATAGCATAGGGCTTAATGCACATCCTTGGCGTAGAACGATGGGACAGTCAGCCACAGCATCGCCACATCAAACACATGATTTAACATTTCGATAAATTGATTTAAGTATAACCGTAAATCCATTTTGCCATCTAGGTTGTGTTTTTGTAGACATTTCCAAAGTCGCCGTCTAACCGCAGAATCGAATTCATTTTTGAAGTCCACAAAGGCAACATATAATTTACGCGTATTTTATGAGAGGTATTTTTTCAATTGCATGCAAAGTGAAAATACTCGTATG